GGGTAAAATGCTGCTGAGGCAACTTACAACTATTTGTTAAATATTAAAATCATCTGTCTAAGTTTTATCAATATGATTTTTATTACTAGGTGGCACTCATGTGACTTAGATTATGGCATAAAGAAAGTAGATTAAACATTTTTTAAGTTCCTACCTTAAGCTTCTCCTACAGATATAATTGTTTACTCTTGAACATATGACCATGTTTTATTAGAATGTTCTCTTAATCTCATAGCTTGTGGCACATAAATATTTTTTTCTTCTTAATGCAAGCCACTAAAATGCATCTCCATTCCTCATAAGGGGACAAGATTTGGGGAGCTGATTTTGGTGTGATGAAGACCAACTTGGGGACACAACATCTGGCCACATGATATACCCCCCACCCCCCCACACACATACATGTATACAGGTATATGTTGTCAAAGTATTTTAGCTTTCCAGATATAAAAAAACGTTACTAAAATTGGGAGGCTTTTAAGAATCAGAAGTTTACTTTCTCACTGTTTCAGCAGCTGGTAAATCCAAAATCAAGCCTACAACTAATTCACCTTCTCAAGGGAGTGCCTGATGTCTTAAAGAGCTAACATCCCCACTGTGTCTTCACATGGCGGAAGGAACTAGAGTGCTCAACGGTCCACTTTTTAATAACCTTCTGCCAAAGCACACATGTGATGGGGAATGTACTATGTATGTTTATCTTATTGATTGTTAAATAAAATACTGTTTGGCCAATGAGACAGCAAGTTAGATGGGACTAGGAGTCAAAGAGGATTCTGGGAAATGTAGTAGAGAAGTGGTGATCCAGGCAGGAAGTGACATAGCAAGGAGACTCATATCTAAGTGAGGGAACAGGAAGTGGCCCCTTTTCCCGTTCACATCCTCCAGTGGCAGGAAGTGAGCTACTGGCAAGGAGGGACGCCAATAAGGCATCCGATAAGTCTTATAACATATATAGATTTATGATAATTCAGACTGAGCTAGCAGATGAGAAGTCCTAGTCTTTGGCCAAGCAGCTTTGAACCTAATACAAGTTTCTGTGTATTCATTTGGTCCCTAACTCAGGCGGGCAGCTGGCGTAAAGCTCAGATGTGGCGGTGGGGCTCAGGCAACTTTTGGCAGAGAGATTTATCGTAACACACATGCTCTACCCTCATGGTCTAATCATTGGCTAAAGACTCCATATCCCTTAATATTAACACCCAGGATCAAGATTTCCATATATAAATTTTCAGGAATACAATCATTCAGACCATAGTGCCATGGTGCTTTTCCCTATATTATCTTAACAAAAATGAATATTAATATTAATTTTTTGTTTAATATGATTAAAAGCAGCATCTAGAGCTACATGGCTAAGAAAAGCTGTGCTCTACTTTTTATCTTACATGATAGCTGCTTTAGTTCTGCTGCGCATGTCAGACTTACTTGCCAGCTCTGAGCCCTGTTACCTCTGCTCCCTTGTTTGATGTCACTTGGCATCGAAAATGTGACTACAGCCCATTAGCTTCTTCAGCTCTTAAGTAGCAACTGTCACAGAGGGAAAGTGATGCTCAGCATGAGGAATGTAGTTATTTATGCTAATTGGACTGTGGAAATTGGAGTGACCAGCTGGCCTCAGCTTTATGTCTTTCATGCTCACCACCATGATCAAAGATTTTTTCTTTTGCTCAAAATACCAAGATTACATATTAACTCATCGCTAGCATTTGCAAATTATATAATTAGTACCAGAATGTGCCAAGGCCAACTTTCGTATTACCAAGCACTAATGAGGGTCCTTCCCACCATTTTGAGCCATTTTTCTGTAAGTCAGGTTACAGATTTTATTGACACTGACTGAGACTGTAACTATGGACTTGTGTCATTGTTCCCACTGAGTCCATCCATCTTGATTGGGCTAAAGGGAGAGCAGAGGATGTGGTGTCAAGCAGAAGGCTTAGGTAGGCTCTATTACAGGCTGAGGTAAGCTGCCACTTACCACCCATGTGTACAACTTTACATAAATTATTTTGCTTCAGATCCCGAAGATGTAACATAAGGTGGGTAGAGTAGCAGTAAGGATGGAAATGAAACAATACAAACAAATGCACTTACAATTGTTCTGAGCATTGACAGCATCTTAGAAGTATTAGTTTAAGCAAAATACCTTACACAAAGGGCCAGGACTCTCATAATTTACACAGACTTCCAGGCATCAAGGCTGAAGAAAACACAAAATCATAGATCTACTGCTGTATGGCCAGTGTGATTTACTGTCAGTAAGACTTGTTTATGGTTGGCATCAGTGGGAATGAAAACCCTTTAATCACACAGAGACATTCTTTCCTGCATGCAGGTTCAAATGGACCTACCCTAAATCACAAATATCCTAACAAATTCCCTTCCATTTGATCTTAAAATCCTTCACAGGCTGCATTTGATGTCCATAAAAGTGGCTGCTTTTAAATCAGGTGTAACCCCACATCTGACTGTGGGGTCTCTAGTCCTGGCTTGGTTCTCAGCAAACCATATGAGTTAAGGAACATCTCTTTCTGTACTTCAATTCCCTTGTTTATGAAAAGAAGATACTTATTCATTGTTTCACTCAATGTTCATCAAGAGGTATAGTTGTCACTTGGAAAACTGTCTGGTTGAAGGCTCTTTCTGAGTAACCATTGTGTTGCAGAAGTAAGTCAGACTGAATTGTGCATACTGCAAAGCCAGTAAGACTTTAAAACTTCAAGTATATATAAGTTAGTCATTATAATGTGAAATTATTCCTCATAGCTACTTAAATCACTTACCAGATGAGAATGTCTGGATTATAGAAACTATGTACATTTTTAAAGATATATTTACAAAGAAGGAATTCCAAAGGTATGTTTGATAATGGTGGCCTTATTTAGATATAAATATTTGGCTTTAAGTGAATGCCAGTCTATGTGTGAGTGACTTGAAAGACACATAAATTTTTATAATTCTTCTAATGGCCTGCTAAGCGGGGGTCTGTTTCGCTAACCTCAGCATCTCCTTCCGATAGCTATCCATTTTATTTAACATTTCTCATTAAATCTCCTTAAAGCTTATCTGTTACACTTCTATTTTTTTTGCTTTAGTGTTTTCAAAGCCTACTCATTGCCTTCTAATTAAATACAAATCTTCCAGACTAATAAAATCCAACTGGCTCCAGTTTATCTGTCTAAGAAAAATTGACAGGGAATAGGTATTAAGAGGAGAAACCAATAACGAAAGCTACATTTTAAAGGGCATAGGTATCTTTAACACCCAAAAGTGTGGAGAAAACTAATGCTAACACATTAGGCTAGGGGCTTCTGTCCTTAGGTTGACTTAGAAAATTGGCTCATGATTGGCACCTGTGAACTGAGACTTTGAAAAGTTCTCTCAATTCCCTATTTGATAAGAATGATTTCCTGAGCCTAAAATCTGTATAAATAGTGTACTTTATGTTGAACATCTGTTTTCATTCTTGGAACCTGGCATCAGTTCATGCTAAGCAGTGGGCACCTTTGTGACCAGCTCCCAGTGCATATCTGAACATGTGAGCTTGAGTGGGTGTCCCTAATAGATGCTGGCTTACATGTGTACTCACATGTCATGGCTGGAAGGATTAAGGGAATCCTTAAAACTCCATAGGGAAGAAGGCTCACAGCTCCTTGTGTGTGTTCTCCCATTTTTGCCCCATGCAGTCTCCACCTCCCCTACTTATTTTGCTTTGTGTCATTCCACTATCACAAATTATAACCATGGCTAGGACTTTTTTTTTTCTGAATCTATAAGACCTCTCTAAAAAATCACTTGACTTAAAGGTGGTCTTGGTATGGGGCATAAAATATGCCATCAGTTGGCACCAAGTAATTTTAGGGATGCAGGATTCTATTTAGACAGGCTGGCATATTAGTAAAATGTCTATAGCATATAATCAGCTGACAGAGTTATCTAGGGAAAGCTTTGGAGTTGAGGAAATTAACCTTCATAAAGATAAAAATCAACCTTGTTGAGCAGAGCAATACTCATTTCATGGTTCTGTGTATTCCCTTGGAATGTACTCAGCTCCAAGAGACTGTAAACCATCAGAGTGCTTTAAAGTGGTTGATTCTTTATCTGCATTGATGAGAAGGATGATGGAAAGGTGCTCAAATGTGGTACACCCGATGTAATGATGAATTTTCTTTCCTTTCCACTATATTGAGTATATAGATTTTGTCTCTGTGGTCATAAGATAGGCATTACAGTTTCAGGTATCTTTTTTATGCTCCCTGTATTGGGAAGAGGGGGCCACAAAGAACTAAACCAACTCCACTTTCCCAAGGAAACCTCCTTCCTCCTCATCAAACTGCAGCCTTTAGCGGCCTCCTCTGGCACCAACAGAGGATTAAATTTCATGTATTTTACTTTCTGAAGTTCACACGACTACAAACAAATGGCAAGATAAACTGAATGGAGGATGTTCAATGAGCCACATGAATTATCTGCCAGTATTATTCTGACATTAAGCAAGAGAAAAACAAGGTTATTGTGGGTGCCTCGCTTGTGAGCCTGCAAAGTAAAAAACCAGTGATGTGCTGGAGATACGAGTCAGTGGGTGAAGGTGCTCATCACCAAGCCAGACAACCTGAGCTCCAGCCCAGGAACCCACAAGGTGGGAGTAGAGATCTGACTCCTTCCTGCAAGTAGTCCTCTGACCTAAACAACACACACACACACACGCACGCACGCACGCACGCACACACACACACACACACACACACACACACACACACGAATGTAATATCTACTGAGTGAGAACTTGCCCTTCACTTCCTTATGTGTTACTGAGCAGCCTCCTAAAATAAAAGCTTCTGGTCTGGGAAATTGGATTGCTGGGATATTAATCATCACATTATCGTGATCTCTTATGCAATGACTTGAAAAGAAGAGATGCACTGTACTGTTGAACAGATTCATGAGACAAAATACTAACCCTCCTCTCCCTCCCCCTATCTTGTTTTCTTCCTCAGAAGCTGTAGATGAAGCCAAACCTAAGGAAAGTGCCCGACAGGATGAGGGTAAAGAAGACCCCGAGGCTGACCAAGAACATGCCTGAACTTTAAGAAATGGCTTTCCATGTTGCTCCCACCTGAACCCTGTCTCTCCCGCCCTTTCTCTGCACCACTCTGAAGTTTCCTCTCCTGTCCCGCTCACGTGTGTGAGCCTGTCCTCTTCTACCTACTAGCCCCCTCTCTCTGTGTGGCAAACATTAAAAAAAAAAAAAAAAAGCAGGAAAGATCCCAAGTCCAACAGTGTGGCTTAAATATTTTGTTTCTTGGTGTTGTTATGGCGAGTTTTTGGTAATGATGATGCAGTCATCTTGGGAAATTCTTGCACTGTACCCCAGTTTTTTGATCTGGTGCGTGTGGCCCTGTGGGAGTCCACTTTCCTCTCTATTCTCTCTGTTCCAAGTGTGTGTGTGTGCAATGTTCCGTTCTGAGGAGTCCAAAATATTAAGTGAATTCAAAAACCACTTCTGTTTCCTCATTTTCAACGTGATGGAATGAACAAAAAGGATAAAAAATTAAAAAACCCGGTTTGTTTTAAAAATAAATAAAACAAATGTGCCAATTAGTGTAACTTGAGGCTGTAAGGCTCCTTTTTCAATCTGAATATTAATAAATCATGACAGTAATCAAGTTTGGTGTCTCTGTGTTTCTTTTCCACATCCCTTTGGTCACAGTGTTCCAACATATTGGACTCTTATAGTTCATCTTTTCCCTAAGCTCTTACACTGCCACCAACAGCCCTGATTAGGGAAGCACAGGCCCTGGCCAGGACCAAAGCCTGCGCTCCTGATGAGATAGTTGGGTACCAAAAAAGCTTGCTAGAGGTGCTGTGACAGAACCACAGCTGGTATGACTTAAGAAACAGACATTTATCATTTTACAGTAGTGAATACTAGAGGTCTGAAATCAAGAAGCTGAAAGTGCTGATTCTTTCTGAGGCCAGTTAAAATGGTGTGTTTCAGTCTTCTCACCATGACTTATTCTAGATGGCTATCTTTTCCCTGTATCTCTTCATAGCTCCCCTCTATGCACGTCTTAGTGTCCAAATTTTTCTCTTTTTAGGATACTTGTCATATTGGATTGGGCCTACCATAATGGCCTCATTCTGACTTTATTGTGAAGATTCTATTGGCGTATTACATCATTTTTTCAAAGAGTGGTGGTTAGGGCTTCAACATAGGAATTTGCAGGAGAGGCACAGTGTGCAGTCCATATAAATGCTAAGGTTTGATCTTGCTAAAGTAACTCCAAGTGTGCTCAAGATTCAGAAGTTTGGTTTATTGGATGGAAAATGCTCTAGATTTCTCCAGGTTAACTATCATAGAGCTGTTCGTATCTCTCGGAAACTTCAAGGCTTTTGTTTAGATGACTTATTTTAACATGAATATTGAGACAGTCTATTCTATCTTTTCCCCTCAGATTATGAAGGTCCATCTCCACAAAAGGCAGGTAAATAGTTATAAACATTGCACTATCTGATGCTGATAGATAAGGAAAGGTATACCTTACTGGGGGAGGGGGCTGCTTGAGGCAGTTCAGCTGGTAAAGTCCTTGCTACTAGGAAGGAGGAGTCATGTTTGATTCCCAAACCCATTTTAAAGAAACCCAAGCAAGATGGGGCTTGTTTGTAATTTCAGTTCTGGGACGGTAAGGAGAAATTGATCTCTGGGAAATGAAGGAAGGGTGGAAGGAAGGGTGTATGACCTTTATTAGATTCACACCAATCATTTTTTCTAGTTTTAATTTTCTACAATGCTTCTGTTACCTGAGGCAAACTCATGAGTGGTTGTATCCTGCAATAGCCATAGGACTCTTTAGAGGACAGATATGGCTAAAGGATTCCTTTCTATTCCGTATGCTCATCTACACACAGAAGGTCTAAGCTGAGAGGAGAAAACTAAGATAAAGATCTCAAAGTGGTTATGATCATGGACTTAAATAAAACATTTTAAGATATGCAACCTATACTTTGGCATCTCTGATCAGCTCCATATGACAACTTAATACTTCAAAGAAACCTGATGCCACATGGAGTTTGAGTCCTGTGTGAGTCAAAAGAGATCGTCACTTGGTTACTGACAAGTGAAATTTCCATTGGGAGAAACTACTATAAAGAAAAAGACCATAAACCACCACACCACATATTAAAATGACTTGAATGTTTGATTTTGTTGTGAATTGATATTGTGTGCAGGACATTGAAGCGAGTGTATGCAGATCAATCACAGTCATTATCTCACTGGAGCATCAATCATAAAATATTAGGACAGGTCATTCTTAGATTAGATCCATCTCTCCTAGGGTGACCAAGAAGCTACTAATTGCTTTAGGAATTTTCTTTTATCTCACTTTTTTTCTTTCAGTAGCACAAATGTTTTGATTACCCCCCCAAAATAAACTTCAGACCAACATTGCTACAACTTCAGACAGAACTTCTTGATGCATTGCATTCTAAATGTTGACCATCAAATACTCTGCAAGCAATTATCGGGGGTTTGAAAATTCATGTTAATATACACTGTTTAGTTATTTTCAGCTTTCTGTTAGAACTGAAATATTCATCTTATGGTTATCTACAGTTTTCTCATAAAACCTTGGATTCTTAAAAGAATTTTAAAAATGAGGAAGACACATTAGAGTCAAACAGTAATCTTAGAGACATATGAAGGAAAATAAGCCTCCACTTTGATACAAAATCATCCACTTAAACTAACACATTACACTCGAAGTCAGGGTAATGAAGTCATGGACCATTGAAGACACAGAAATATACATTCTGAATTCTAAAGCAACATAAGTTGTTTACACTATAATATCTACTTTACTTTGCTTTGAAAAATATTCTAGATTGAAGAAAAGTCTAAAAACCCTCAGCAAGGGCAGGTGATCCCTTGAAAGGGTAAGACAATCATAGGACACCAGACCCAGTGTCCCATTCATAGCACAGTCATGGATTTCTCTGCACGGAAAATGTTCTTTTGACCAACCTGATTATTTGGGTCTACAATGTGTGCCTGAGCCTCTTTGATAACAAAGGAGTTTCTAATACGGAGCTGGTCAGCCCCATAGCCATACTGCCAATTTGCTGTTCCTCCAACATGCTCAACATTCTCCACCTGGTGGCTTAGTTCAGAAGTCTAAATCCTACTTTTCTTTACATACCATTTAATTCCATGGTGGCCTGCAGAGTAGGACGAGTTTACAATCTGTGTGTGCTGTCCTGACTAACCCTGCACTTTCCTTGGCCAGTTGAGCCAATCTAGGCAGACTTCTACAGCTATCCCTTCCTCTGTCAAAGCCAAACAAATGAGAACAGTATAACTAAACTCCTCTCTAAATATCCCACTGTACAGGCACTTGGAAATCTTAAAAACAAAAAAAGCATTGTTCTCAACAACGGTCAGCCCTGTGAAAGCCTGTGCAATAGGAAAAAAATACTGCATGAATGATTGCCATGCATCATTATTAAGCTCACCACAAGTTCCATTAACCTTTTTAAAAATCTTGTTATGTACCATCTGTTGTCATGGAAACATAGCTTCTATTCACCTGCCTATAAAAATAACTTAATTGGTGACCTTTCTAGTGAAATGCCAGTTAATGAAGATAGTATTATAAATGTGGGCTTTTTTAAATTTCAAATGGGACTCTTGCTTAACTTCATTGCTTACAGGGTTAAAGCTACTTACCGAGTCCGTGACTTTGATGTATCTATCCCTATAGAACTGAACTGCAACTTTGCCTTACTAAAACCAAATCACAGTCACTAGGAATGTGGACAAGACCATACCTATGAGAATGGCAAGTATTAAAGCACCCAGGACAATTTCAATGCATGTTTTCAAGTAGGTTGGTTGCCTGCTTTGTTTTCTTATAGGTGTGTGTGATGGTTGGTAATGACAGCAAGAGTTATGTCCCAGATGGCACCATTCTACAAACATTTCAGGAAACTGCAATATTCTAGATGGAAAGAAATGCTGCTGGTGATTAATGGCATGGTTCAGAAGACTAAGATGTGGAACCACACAGTATTCTTCTAAGATATTTTCCTTTTTGACATATGGTCTTCTGTATAATAGGTTGGCCCTGAACTTGCCACATACACAGGAATGACCTTGAACTATGTCCTCCAGCCTCCACTTACCAAATGTGCTTTGTGTATCCCAGGAAAGCTCTGGCTCAAGTAAGCTACATTCTGGCATTCTCCTAAGAATTTTAAAACAGTTTTGTTGTTTAATTACTCAAACAATGCTTTTGGTTGAAGGAAGATAGAAAATATTTAACAAAACAATATAAATAATTCACAGTTTATCATCCCAAATTAAGTAATATTTACATTTAAATATCTAACCTTAATACAGTGAGTCTGCTTAGTTGCAGTTGCCTTGTGGGGTGTGTGTGTGTGTGTGTGTGTGTGTGTGTGTGTGTGTGTGTGTGTGTATTGGGAATATTGTTTTAAGGTGTGTGACTTTTGTTTATGCTGCATTTGTTTAACTCCGTGAAGCTGTGTTACTGTGTGTGTCTAAAACACCTGGTGGTCCTAATAAAGAGCTGAATGACCAAGATCGAGGGAGACATAAGGATAGGCGGGTCTGGCAGGCAGAGAGTGTAAATAGAGGGAGAAACAAGAGGAGAAGAAGCAAGAGAACAAGGAAAAGAGGACATCAGGGACCAATCACCCAGACACTCAGACACCCAGACACCCGGCCATCTAGCTATTGAGCTACATGGCAGTCCAGCAATGCACAAAGTAAGAGTAAGATTAACAGATGTAAGAGAATAGGAAAAGCCCAGAGCCAAAAGGTAGATAGTACAGCTTAAGTTAAGGAAACCTGGCAAGAAACAAGCCAAGCTAAGGCTGGGCATTCATCAGTAATAATAAGACACTGTGTGTGATTTATCTGGGTGCTGGGTGGTGCCTCCCCACAGAGCCAAAGAGTAAAAAGCAACCAACAATATATATTTGTGTGTATGTGTGTACATGTATGTGTGCATGTGTGTGTGTATGTGGTGTGTGTGTATACATATACATGTTACTTTTCTTTTTGTTGTGATAGAAGCAGAAGCAAGTTAAGTGCGGAGGGAAGGTTTTTTGGTTTTTTGTTTTGTCTTGTAGTTTTTTTATTTGGCTCACAGTTTAGTGCAGTGGTTCTCAACCTTCCTAAAGCTGTGACCCTTTAATACAGTTCCTCATGTTGTGGTGACTCTCAACCACAAAATTATTTTCATTGCTATTTCATAACTGCAATTTGCTACTGTCATGAATCACAGTGTAAATATCTGTGTTTTCTCATAGTCTTAGGTGAGCCCCATGAAATGTTTTTTAGACCCCCAAAAGGATTAAGACTCATAGGTTGAGAACCACTGGGTGAGAGGGTACAGTACATCTTACAGGGAAGTCATGGAGGCTAGAGTGGACTGCTTCATGGAGACTTGAGTTTGTGGTGCAACTTACCTTCTCACACATTGGCAGATCAGGAACCAGAGAGCTTGGTCAAGAAGCACAGCTAACCTATAAATCCTTAAGACCAACCCCCACCCCCAGTGCTACATCAGCTAGCTAACACCCGCTAGCTAACATAACCAAGTCCCTAAAGTTCCAAATTCTCCCTAAACAGTACCATCAGCTGG